GTATAGACAACATTTGGTGCTGCTCCTTTACCCACATCATCACCAACAGTTGGTGGGAGAGTATCCATATAATCCCGGTCTTCTGGGGCATCTCCATTATTTGCAGATGGAGAGATGACATCATCATACAAATCTATCTGATCATGCCCACCATATTCAGCTTCCTGAGATAGAAATAATGCTCTAGATTATGCAATTGTCAGAACACTACACTAAAAAGATCTGAACACATGTTCATTAACTATTTTATTTTAAAAATCTGATGAGACAAAAAGGCCCAAACATTTCAGTACAAATCTTCTCTCATGTTATACAACTGATGCATTCTTGAATGGTTCCTGAAAGTGAGTTTCTGTACAGCAAATTGTATTTCCCCCACTGGTTTTTATTAAAATGTAGAAAATAATGTTACTGGGGAAGGGGGGGTGACTAACATGGAAACAAAATAAATCTTTTCTTGGGAATAAAATACTTTTTAAGTAAAAGTACAATAATACATAAATGCAAATAGGTGAGCTTTCTAAAAATATACTTGATATAACAAAATTATCACAAAAAAAACAGAGCCATTACAATCTTCAAGATGTGACCACAGAAAATGACAACCAATACTTTTAATATTAGACAGTAGAAAAACACATCTAATATTATTATCTATGACAATCAAATCTATTTTCCAACTCTGAAAACTGTTAGTTGTAGAAAAGCCAACAACAGTGAACTGAGCCATAGCGAGGTAAACAAAAGTTGACTACGCACATGATTCAAAATGTCATAATGAATGAAGAAAATAAATGAAAGTAAAACTATTCATAGTATTGTTTTATTATTCCATCTACAAAAAATTAATGCTTACCTGACTTTTTAGATAATCTAGTCTAGTTAATTAGCAAAAGTGAGATGATTAAGGACATAGCTAAAATGTCACTCACTGAGCATTCACCAGCAGAATTAAAGCAATGTTAGTGGATTTGCCACTTACATGCCTAAATGAAAAGCAAGCAAGACGAAAATGAGAAAGATACGTGAGCATGATAAAAATGGAAGAGCTCAGTTTATAAATACTCAAAAAAAAAATGAAATGTAGATATTGGCAGAACATTCAATGCCATTTAAACTGCCTTTGGTACCATTTATGGACCAGAGGTTTGACTACTCATGTATCAGAGGAAGATCTCCATTTTAATCTTCTTCCCTTTCCATCACTGAGGCTTTCTACCACTAAGTACCTGAGTCAGTAGTTTATAAAATACCTGCTTTATTCTTACAGTGTAAAGCACTTGAGACAAGTAGTAAAGGAAAAAGGGAGACAATTACAAACAATAATAAACTTAAAGAATACACAAAAAAACTCATATTCTTTCCCATGAATACATTTTACTAAGAAAGGCTTGGCGTTACACACTGACACATGGGAGGTGTTAATAGTTCTAGGGAATAACTATCACACAGAGAATTACCCAGAAAAAGCCATTTATTGTATAAGTGTAAATAGAGCAACAAAATATGGTTTCATAGGCCCCAAAAGAACATGGCTATTGATTTGTTATTAGAATAGAACCATAATATATATTAAGGAAAAAAAAAAAAAATAAGATAAACAAAAACTTAGAAGGAAAAACACCAACGATACACATAACCAAAAGGTACCGAATTTTGTAAATTCATCATCAGGTAGTCTTCTGTATAACTAAATGGGCTATGCAATTTACTAATCATATAACAGAATTTTATATACCAGTTTTATTATGAGATAGAATCTGTGTGTAAGATTTATTTACTAAGAGGCCCAAGATCTCAAGGTAAATTAGAGAACAAAGCCATCTGTAGTGATGGGCAGAAACTAAGAAGACAAGTCACTGAATAATGCCATAATTTTGTTTGTACAGCAATATCAAAATATTTTAAAACTTTTGAGTTTTTCTTAAACAAAATAGCATGCTCAAGTTGCAGTGACAATAAAAACTAGGAAAAAAGGAGGGTGAGTTTTGTTATGAAGTTTCAGTATAGCTGAAGCTTCAGGTGATGTGGTTGCAGCATAGTGGTTCCATACAGTTAAGATACTAAAAAGCTTCCCATAAGGGGTACTGTACACTTTAAACTCTCTTGCAATCCGGTTCTGTACATCAAGCAGAGTTATTATTATTATTCAAAGGGAGTTGTGTTTCCATCCTCCTCAGCAGAGACCATAATCACAATATGTGGTCTGAGGGAGAGTAAAAAAGAATGCAAGGGTTATTAACAGTTGGACTACATGAAAGTATTTAAATTTATGCTTTCACTTACAAAAAGTATATCAACACATTGATTTTTCATTAGCTGAAAGTCTATGAGAATGTTTACTTAAGTACACAATCATTTACAAACATAATTGCAGCTACACTAACCTGGTGCATTACAATCACTTACTATTTTTGTCCGTCCATGAATTCCTATGGTGACACCAACCAATTTTCCATATTGATATGAGTCTACCAATATTAGGATCAGCCATTTTGTCTGGTAGTTGGATTGCTTCCAATTGGTTGAAGGGTGATGCTAATTGAGACCAGGGTCCTGGGGTTTGATCTCCATGCAGGACTAGCTGGCTTCACTCTGTTCCAAGGCCACAGCCTGTACTCCTAGCCCCAACGGTACGCATTTGGACTTGGTGAAAAAATATTAATGAATCTGAATACATTTGCCACCACACCAAAAACGTAACTCAACGCACATAATTTTTTGTAGTATTGGCAATATTCCTATTTAGCTTTAGCATATCACACTTATTATTCATGTTAAAAAATACAGAACCCATTCAACTTTCTGTTCCCACAGTCAGAATTATGCAAAATGTGTATCACATCATATATAAAGCAAGTGAGCTCTGAAAACCTAGTAAACACACAAGAAGTTTCCACTTTATCAAACATGTAAGGTCAGCAGTGTCAAGTTCTTCTATGTAGAAAATGTTAATGGTATTAAAAAATATGAAAATATCAACATTGCCTTTCTGGTTTCAGATATCAAATGCTGCCCAGTCTTAACTATCTACTTTTCATAACAACATAATCACCAGTTGTTGTTGTTAAGTACCGTCGAGTTGACCCATAGCGACTCTGTATATGGTTTCCGAGGAACAGCTGATGAGCTTGAACCACCGACCTTGCAGTTCAAAAGACTGCAGTCTGACGTATTTACCCACAGTGCCACACCAGGGCTTCAATCACCAGTAGAGCTCCATATAACTTCCAGCAAGCAACAGTTCTTAAAGTTTGTTCAGAAATCCATCAGGAAATTTTTGTTCCCTGCTGCTCTAAATCACTAGTCATTAAAGGTAAGGTACTGTCTCAAGACTGCAGAGATTATGTTCTACATGATATGACTGCTGCCAAATCAAATAGAATGTACTTAAAAATAAGATGAGTAGTAAGCTGACCAAAATTTTTTTAGTTTCATCCAGGCAATGTTTTTCAACGCTTTTCCCACACTCCTACCCAAATAGTATATCTGTACATTTTTCCCTGAACACTCACTCCCTCACTCATTTTCATTTAGGGAAATACAAGCAGGGGGAAAGGTCACATGTTGCATACATAGTTTATATTTTATTACAAGAGAAACACTAACATGCAAAATCTAATAGTAGATCTTATTTATTATTTTGGAAAATATTTCACTTTTCAATTTTGTCCAATTATAATAGATATTAGCTTGTTATATAATATAAACAGCTCAAGTAATGGTAAGGAAGCCAGTCTGGTACTTAAGAACATGCCAGATACATTACAAATTGGACAATTCATAGGCAGTTATCTACACTCATAAATAATAAAACTAAGATAACTTCTCGTTCTCCTAAACATTTCTAATCATGTTTCTGAATCAAACTCTACCTATACCTCACTCTCTACCTTATAGCCTTATCTTAAAACAGTTTTCTAGTAAACATTGTTGTTGTTTGTCATTGAGTGGATTTCGACTCATAATGACCTGGTATGTAGGGTTTCCAAGGAGTGACTGATGGGTTTGAACTGTCAACCATGCAGTTAAGCAGTCCAGTGCTTATCCCAAAGCGTAACACCAGGGCTCCATATTAAACATAAATCTAACAGCAAACATAAGCTTTCACTATTTGTCCAGTAAGAGTCCTGGTGTGGCGCTGTAGGATAAATACCACACACCAAGTTGGTTTGCACCACAAAGTCGGCAGCTCAAACTCACCAGCCGCTCCTTGCAAACTCTATACAGGGTTACTATGAGTTGAAATCAACTAAATGGCACTTAACAGCATTTGTCCAATAAAACTTATTTTTTTCTGTAAACAACTGGATAGAAACATAATGACTACAAAACATAATGACATATGAAATAAAAGTTCATGGGCTTACTACAATATCTAGGTTTATAATTTCTCAATGAATTTTTTTCCTGATCACTAGGTGTCCTGGTGAGGCGCTGTGAGTTAATGTGCCAGACTATAAAACCATTTGAATTGCAAGGTTGGCGGTTCAAGCTCACCAGCTGCTCCTCGGAAATCCTATACAGGGTCACTATGGGTTGGAATTGACTCGATGGCTCTTAACAACATCAACAATACAGAGAAGGAGCTCTGTAGCATAGTGGTTATAAGTTGGGCTGCTAACCTCAATGTCAGCAGTTTGAAACCATCAGCTGTTCCTCTGGAAGATGAGGCTTTCAGTTCCCACAAAGATTCACAGCCATCTCAGAAACCCTATGCAAGGTCACTATGAGTCGGAACCAACTCCATGGTACACCACCACTACCACCTATATATATGGAGTCCAGGTGTGGTGCTGTCAGATAAGAATTAGACCACAAAGTCAGTCTGAACCACAGGTCAAGGGTGCAAACTTCCCAGCTGCTCTGTGGAAACCCTATATATAGAGAGGGCTGCTATGAGTCCGTACCTAATCGACAGCATTTAAAAACAACTACCTATACATATACCTTCATTTAAAAGTTGACTGGTCAGATTACTAAATCAGTGCTGTTACCAAGGACCAATGGACTGCCAAAGTGGTTCAATCCCGCCTGCGACTATGAGAAGAAGTCTCGGAAACCTTACACAGGATTGCTGTGCGTAGAAATCAACTTGCTAGAAGTGCCTGAAAGACTAGAACAAATTCTAAATTAAGAGCATTTTGCTGTTGTTGTGAAATGCTATCAAGTCAGTTGTGACCCCTAGCAAACCTGTATAGGGTTTCCGAAAAGCAGCTGGTGAGCTTGAACTGCCAACCTTACAGTTCAAATTGACCTTGAAGTCCAGCGCCATTAACCCACAGTGCCACATCAGGACTCCCTTGGTTGTTGCTCTTAAGTACCAACTTATAGCAGCCTTGTATAGGTTTCCAGGAGCAGCTGGTAGGTTTCAACCACAGACACTGAGGTTAGCTCTAGCAGTCCAGTTTTTTTTTTAACTCCCAAACCAAATACACACTAAACATTATAAACTTATAAAATCTGTGACTTTCCTTTCCCACACGAACAAAAATTCGACAAAGTTACACATAAAAGAGTGGTACCTACATTACAGTTTCTATCGGTGTTATAATTATTGAGATGTCTCTAATCTCCACTACAGTATACTCTCCAGGTAGAAATTAATCTTTGTATCCTCTGTTGTTGGCATATAATAGACACTCAAGAAATGTATTATGAACAACTGAGGTCTTCAAGAAAATTGTTTTAGTTTTGGTCAGAAACTTTTTCAAAGTCTCTAATTACTAAATAAGGAGCTCTGGTAGAGTAGTGGTTACGATTAGGGCTGTGAACTGCAAGGTCAGCAGTTTGAAACTACCAGCTGTTCCGCGGGACAAAGATAAGGCTTTCTGCTCACATAAAGATTTACAGCCTTGGAAACCATGTACAGGGTCGCTATGAGTTGGAACCAACTCCAAGGCACATAACAACAACAATTACTAAATGGGTCCTGGTGTGGCGCTGTGGGTTAGTCGCACTAGACTGCAAAGTCATCTGAACTGCAAGGTCAGGGGTTCAAGTTCACCAGCTGCTTCTTGGAAACCCTATACAGGGTCGCTATGGGTCAGAATCGACTTGACGGCATGTAACAAAAAACAATTACTAAATATTAGGCTAACTACTACACTGAGAACAAATCTCAGTTCAAACCGAACTGATAATATACCACAGAGACCAAAACAGAAGCTCTTTCTTCTCAATTTCAAATTCAAGTAATGTAGAGGTTTGGAAGAAGTTCAAATTCTCCCTCCACTAGGGCAACTGGTCTCAATCTTACTCAATTTGGTGACATCCAGAGATCTTCAATTTAAGAGCTAAAGAGCACCCATAAAGAACAGCCTATAGCCTCTTGTAAGGAGCTCTGGTAGCGTAGTGGTTACAAATCAGGCTGAGAACAGCAAAGTCAGCAGTTCAAAACTACCAGCTGTTCCGCAGGAGAAAGATGAGGCTTTCTGCTCCCGTAAAGATTTACAGCCTTGGAAACTCTGTACAGGGTTGCTATGAGTCGGATGCGACTCCAGGGCACATAACAGCAACAATAGCCTCTTGTGCCGCCTTCTTCTATCCCCAAATTTACTCTGCACTCTTAAATTCATCTGGTGAAGAAAGGTGCTCAGCTATAGTTTCAAAGTCTTATTCTTCACCTCTTCCCCAACATTCATTTAAGACAAATGAATGACTCACTTTTTGAAGCAAGGATAATATTGTGCATGACCACAATACCTCCTCCAAAAGCTTCATTTAAGTACTGACTGTAGTTTTATAGCTGCTGTTGTTAAGTGCCATCAAGTTGGTTCCGACTCATAGCACCTCAGTATAGGGTTTCCAAGGAGCGGCTGGTGAGTTTGAACCAGAAGGAATGAAATAACACAGACTATGGAGAATTTAAATGCACAAAGGTAATTTAAATGTAGTTCACAGTGTAGAACCAAGATTTTTTTTTTTTTAATGTTTGCAGTAGTTTCAAAGCCAAAAATAAGACTGTATTGACTAATTAAGTAGTCAAAATAACTTTTAAAATGACAATAAAATAAGTCTTAGAGTTTACTAAAGCAAACAGTAGAAATAATGTCACCAGTTAATAAAAATATGTTGTTACGGTTAAGTGCTGTTGAATTGGTTTCAACTCATCAGTCTGCAGTAATTTTGCAGTTGCGTCTAATTCTGATAAAATTACAGATACACTTCAACTATAATAACATCTAAAAAGCAAACAAAAATGAACATTGAAAAATTACTATCCCTCTGTGGCCATTTAAAAAACAAAGAATTACCACTGCAAGGAGATTACAGAAGTCAAAGCTATGCAAAACAGGAAAAACAAAGTCTCTACTTAATTTGCATTCCCAACCCAATTTATCTATTCAATGGTAAAATGATACAACGTAAAATGATACAATTATAGGTACATGTAACAGTATAAGTACATTAAAAAACAAAAACAAAAACAAACAAACCTGAAATTAGTCCCTCATCAAACCCACAAAATTTTAATCTTTTCTTACCTCCTGCTCATTCAGCACTTACTGTACAGGGATAAGAAAGTATCACTTCATCCAGCTATCTGGATAAGAAGATGTACCTCCCAAATTAATATGTCAGAGACAAAATTACTTTATGAAGAAGGGCTAAAGAGAGCTTTAACTAAAAATTATGTCCCAATTACTCATTAATTGTGAACAGAAAGGCAAGAACCTAAAGACAGTCCTGAATACTCATACCTGCAGGTATGGCCCTCTTTTGGATAGAATGTTGTACTCATTAAAAAAAAAAAAACTAAAAAAAGAGAAATTTTCTAGAGATCTTTATCCACTGACTTTAAAATTTTTTGATAACAATGAGTTATATGTAACATACCAGTTTTTAAGGGAGTTAAAAAAACCCAAAAAAGTAATTTGATTTGTTTCTTTTCCAATATTTAAACGAAGGGCAGTCATTTTTGACAAACAGAACAGACAGGATTTATATGGTGTCCATGTTTTTAAAAATCTTGAGCCCTTAACCACAATTAAGTCCCATAACAGAAAACAGAACAAAACAAAAAAACCCACATTAAGCAGCAGAATTTTATTATGCTTCTCATATGAACCTGGAAAACATAAAAAAATAATGCTTTTAGGTGCACTACATTTAGTTAGGTACAGTTTGATTTGTTTTTAAACGTATTACCACATTTTTAAAAAAGCAGTAAACACGCTTAAACGTCATAAGTAACAAACTAGGTATTTTGCGAGGATGTCCACCACCAGGCACCACTATTCCGTAGCTCATACTTCCAGGCAACCTTGGACTAAGCTTGGAAAAAGCTTGCATTCTCATTTTCTCCAACCTCTCCAAGTGTAAAGCAGATTCCACATTAGAAATTTAACATTTTTGCCTTCGAGCATAAAGGCGTATCTACAAATCTTTATTTAAAAAATATACCGTAAGAAACTCGTGTGGACAATCTTCATTTTAATTACGCCTCTACATCTAAATTCTTGGTGATCTTTTTGTTCCATCCCACCATTGCGCTTCAATTCTTTTGGCCCAATCCATCTTCAAAGGTATTTTCATTACAAAGCCTAAGAGCTACTGGGCCTCACAGGCACTGCAAGCCAAGGATTAAGGTGGCGAAGGGCCTGTACACCGACTTTTAAAATACGATCAGTGCAAAAGTCAAAACGACTTGTTGCAAATGTACCCACACCTAACCCGCCTTCAGAAAGCGTGAGAGGAGGAAGAGAAAACAGCCACGCTGAAATCTGTCGCAAACGCGAGCAGGAGCGCCCAGAAAACTGGGCGCGCGGGATACAAAGGGCCGTGAATGCGGCCTTCCATGAAGTGTCCGTGCGCAGTGAGGGAGACAAAATGGAGCGACAGAAGGAATCGGAGCCCGAGCGGCTGGGTCTGGGAAGAGGCGGGGGACACCGGCACGCGCCCCTCCAGGGCTTCCTCCTCCGCCCGACGGCAGGGAGGGAAGCGCGGCGACGACCCGTTCTCTCCGCTGCGCACACGCGCCCTACCGTCCCGGCCTAGCGCGGTGGGAAGCGGCCGCCGCCAACAATAGAGAGCGAGGCGGCGGCGAGGGAGGGGCGGCGGCGGCTGCATGGCGGCCCGTGCCCGCACTCTGGGACCTGCGACAGGCCGCAGCGCCCGCGGCCCGCGAAAAGACGCGGTAGAACGAGGGGCGGGGGAGGGGGCCGGGACCGGGCGGCGCGGCCCAAAGCGGCAAGAGCGCACGATCTGCAGCCTGCCGGCTCGCGGCCCACGATGAATCCCGGGTTAGCGTCCGGGCCGCAGCGCCGCCCGCTTCGGCAGCGCGGGCCCGGGCCCGCACGTACCTGGTTGAACTCTTCACCCACATCCGCGTAAATGTCTATGTGGTCCACACCGTCCGCCATCTTCCCTCGGCCTCGGCCGCCACTGCCGCCGCCTCCTGCAGGTCCGTCAGCCGCAGCAGCAGCAGCGGATCTAGGAGCGGGGGCGGGGCACGCTGCGTCACTTCCGAGGCCCGAGGGACGGAGGCGGGGGCGATCGGGGGCGGTGGTCGCCTCTGCAGCTCGGCTGCTCGGTTGGCTAAGAGGAGAGGCTGTGCTGCCGAGAACCCTGACCGTTTCTTTTGTGTGTTTAGGTTAGATTTGAGGGACGTGGGGAGAGTGGGGACAATTCTCATGTCTTACTTGCGCAGCCAGCGTGTCAGTGCGTCCAGTTTTCAGAGAATCTGTTTTCACGTTTTCCGTAGCACATACAAGCGTTTTGGTTATTTAAAAAATATTTTCGTTTCTCAGTTTTCCTTCTGTTTCTCAACCCGGGTTTAGATGGTCGTAAATTCTCCGATTATTTACAGTGTCCGTCCCCCCCCCCC